TCATAAGAAACAACCGGAAACAAGTTCAAACTGTGCGATACATCTCTTGCCCATTTTAAAAAAAGAAAAAAAAAGACTTTTCTAGGAGACCTATGTGTGCGCACACGACTTTTTAGGCAGATAGTTGTATTCAGTAGATTTTTTACCTGCAGAAGAAAATCAAAGAGTGCCATCTTGGACCACTCATGATGATGGATTTCAGTACAGCCCAACTCAGCTTTGGGAACTTTACCATTCTGCCAGCATTTCTGCTTTAATAGCTGCTGATATCGCCCCCAGGTTAGTCTCACTGAAGAATGGGTATTATTATCTGTTGGACACAAAGAGGAATCCCAGAGAATAACAGGACAGGCTTGACCATCTGAAAAAGGGAAAACAGATCATCACTATAGTGCAATACTGTCAGACTTACTTGATGATTCTTTAGACATTGCCTAAGCATCAGTAATTACACCATTTTACAGATATGGCAGAAAAAATAATCAGAGAATAATAATTTGACATCCTTTGGTTAATGTGGTCTTATTCCACATATAAAAATCACACACTGCAGGAATGGAAGAAGCAGAGGTGTTATAAGCACCTTCAGTATACAGAAGGCTTTCTCTGTTTGAAGCAAGAGATTAATGTACAAAATCATACACTAAACCAGACTATTAAAAAGCTTATAGGTAGATTAAGAGCCTACAATGCCACTGTGAACCAATGATGTAACTTCCCTCTGATTCCAGTGAATCGATGATGATTTACAAGAGCGGAAAACTTATGTCAAAGTATGTTTTCTGCATAATGGGCATAGAAACATTACAAATCCTATGCTCAAAGTGGATTTATTTTATCTTTAGTATTTTAGGCCTATAATGTACAATTTCACAGCTCTGAAATGATACATGAGAATACTAGAGAGTGTGAGCTTAGCATGAATAAACGCCTTGGCAAGTATTTTATTTTAGCCAGGTATAACGAGATCTGTTTTACAAAGCAGCTATTTTGGTCAAAAGTATACTGACAAAAGTATTTCAGCCAATAACAAGTAGAAGCAGCTATTTTGGTCAAATTCTTTAAATCTTCTGTGTAAAGAATATTCTGCTCTTCCCTGAAACTAAGTCAAGGTCCTTATCTTTGGTGAATTCAAATGTTCAGAGTTCTTAGTGGGAAGTAACCTCAGCAAAGAATTTAAAATGAGCTTTCCCAGTATAAGAACTGACAAAAGTATTTCAGCCAATAACAAGT